ATCTCAGAGTCCTGGGATCGAGCCCCGCATCGGGCTCTCTGCTCTCTCGGGGAGCCTACTTCCTCCTCTCTCTCTGCCTGCCTCTCTGCCTGCTTGTGATCTCTCTGTCAAATAAATAAATAAAATCTTAAAAAAAAAAAAAAAGCACATATGAACTGTTAATGTTATTGGGTATTGATTTCTCAAAGGACAATAGCATTCATGTTTCCTACCAATGTGCCCTTTTACCTGGATTTTCTTCACCCTGAAGTACTTATACAATCCTAAGGTGTATACCTTTTTTTTTTTTTTTAAAGATTTTACTTATTTATTTGACAGACAGAGATCACAAGTAGGCAGAGAGGCAGGCAGAAAGAGAGAGGGAAGCAGGCTCCCCACTGAGCAGAGAGGCCAATGCAGGGCTCGATCCCAGGACCCTGAGACCATGACCTGAGCCGAAGGCAGAGGCTTAACCCACTGAGCCACCCAGGCGCCCCAGGTGTATACCTTAAAAACAGATTATTCCTGTCTTGCTTTAAAATAGATGGTACAAAGTAGAATGACCAGGGTCTGAAGCCAGCAAACATTAGGTAAGATTACTTATTATTACTATTTGATGCATTCTTGGCTGATATCATGCTATTTATATTACTATAATTATGGTTTGTTTAAATATCTGATAATACAAGGTGTTTCTCCAACGCTTTCCCCCCCGTAATATTCCTAATTACTATTGGACATTTTTCTCACGTGAATTTTAAAATCAGGTATTTTCTGGTTTATTGGCAGAAATTAAAGAGCAGTGCTGGTAAAGTTCGGGGTGACTCTTATTTCTTGTTTTTCTTTATCTGTTTACAAATTCCTTTTATCAAATTTACAAAAAGAGAAAAAAGGTTTTATCAAGAAAAACCCCACTGATCTCCCCATTTTTACAAAATTAAAAGAAAATATACTTTAATCACAAAAGTTTTCTGATCATCTTACCTTTGACTTCTGGAAAGTGAATTATAGTTTCTGGGAAAAAAGAAAATTGGAAGCTGATGTTTATTTCACTCTTCTTACTTCTTCCAACCCAGAACATGGCAAGATCTGTCATTTAGAACTCACTTTATATTCTTCAATATGATTTTATCATTTACTTATTTAAGTCCTGGACATTTCTTAATGATTTAAACCCAAAGTTTTTTTTGTCATTGACATAAAATAGAATGATTTTCTTTTCTGTCAGTGTCTAGTAGGTTCTTACCAGTATAGGGAAAAACAACTGATTGTTATATGTTTATCTTATATCTAGCCACAAATCCAGGTTCATTTATTTTTTAAAATTCTTTTATTAAGTTTCAAATTTTAATTTTCATATAGTTCAGATTCTCTTATTGAAGCTAGGAACATTTACTAGTTTTCCTAGGGCTTTTTGAAGTATGCAATCATACAATAATTGTACTTCTTATTTTCTCTGCTTAATGGGTTATTTCCTTTTTGCAATATCACCTGACTTAGAGCCCCTCCACCCCCCCACAACGTTAACTAGTACTGGTCACAATCTACACTCCGAATGGAGTGACATTCAGGTTAAGAGTGTTCATTTCAGCATAGCTGATAAGCCCCTCAGATAGAGATCAATCCAAAAATACCAATCAGTAAGGGAATCCAAAAATACCAATCAGTAAGGGAATTTAAAAATAAAATATTATTTATTTATTTATTTATTTATTTGAAAGAGAGAGAGAGAGAGAGAGAGAGCAGGAGCAGGGGGAGGAGCAGAGGGAGAGGGACAAGCAGACTCCACACTGAGTGCGGAGCCAGAAGAGGAGCTCAGTCCCACAACACTGAGATCACAACCTGAGCCGAGATCAAAAGTCAGATGCTTGACCTCCCGAGACCCTCAGTCGCCCCTTAAATACATAGCTTTATAACACTGCAGACATTAACAAAGAGGAACATACAAATAGATATGAAAACATTTGCACTTCATCTTTAGGTGACAAAAGCCATTTTCTATTTCATTATGTTCTATAAGACTCTGTTTTTACAAAAAGGAAAATCCCATTATAGAGTCGTATGGGATGATACATGCGGTCACTCACAAATATTAACAGTAAAATTGACAGTAATATTATAATTGCTTTCTTCTTCTTTTTTCTTATCTATTCTTTTTAAAAAAATATTTATTTGACAGAAAGAGAGAGCACAAGCAACGGGAGGAGCAGAGGGAGAGGGAGACGCAGGCTTCCCACTGAGCAGGGAGCCGGATGCGGGGCTCAATGCAGGGCTCGATCCCAGGACCCTGTGATCATGACCTAAGCCCAAGGCAGATGCTTAACCGACTGAGCCACCCAGGCACCCCTTTCTTTAACGATTCTTAACATAGATTTTATTTATCTTATATATGAGGACATAAAATATGATTTCTTGCCAGGAAAAGAAGCATAATATTGAATGACTTTATATTTTATTGCCAAATTTAAAAAACAACTCTAAGAAAAGAGTTTTTATCAACTCACCTACAGCTGGAGGATCATCATCTGAAAGACACAATTTTATTTTATTTTATTTATTTTTAAATTAATCTCTACACCCAACATGGGACTTGAAATTACAACCCGGAGATCAAGAGTCACACGTTCCACTGACTAAGCCAGGCGGGTGCCCCAAAAGACACAAATTATAGCAAATATTTATTTCACTAGATTTAGCCTTTAGACTAGAATGAAATGCAAATATTTTCCTAAATTATAATCCAGTAAGGATAATATTTTGAAGGAGCTGCGTCAGAATTTCAGTGGTGCTTCCTCTCAGTAGTGTAATTGTGGGTGATTTGTAATTTTTCCTTTTGCTTTAACTGTATTTTCCGGGGCTCCATGTTACCACACGGCACCTGTTTTATTTCGGTGATAAAGGATTTCTCTCCTCACAGTAATCATTATTATTTTTTCCCCAATGAGACGGAAGACTCTTTCAAATTCGCAGTCGATTTTCACAAACAGTAGAGAACTTACATCCACGAAAAATGGCTCCGGAACTCAAGTTTAGGAGACTCTAGTGTCTTGCAAGTTTTGAAATGCCAAGAAACCTCCCAGAAAGGGCTAAGGCATTTCATCACAAATGGCCTGTCCATTGCTTGCAGATCATCAACGCTCTTCTCTGAGACTGAGAGAGACAGGATCTCGATGGCTATGTTTTTGCCTGTAAATGTCAAGGACTGGCAACCAGTACCAAACATGAAACTTTTTTTCCAACCCCCTGGAGCAGGAAGCATGACCTGAAGAAGACATTTAGAAATGACTTACTTTCTCACCCTTACAAATAGGAAGGATTCCAGGGGGAGGACATGTTCAGAATGGAAATTGACAGTGCAGAGGTGTAGCTAAAGAAATATGTTTTCTCTTTAAAAAAAAAAAAAAAAAAAAAGAGGGTGCCTGGGTGGCTCAGTGGGTTGGGCTTCTGCCTTCTGCTCAGGTCGTGATCTTGGGGTCCTGGGATCGAGTCCAGTGTCGGGTTGTCTGCTCGGCGGGGAGCCTGCTTCCCCTTCTCTCTCTCTCTGCCTGCCTCTCTGCCTATTTCTGATCTCTGTCAAATAAATAAAATCTTTTAAAAATTAAAAAAAAAAAAAAGAAATACGCTTTCTCAGAACCTTTAGCTCCTTCGTCCCCACCTAACTGTGTGACTTTGGGTCCATGACTCGACATCTCTGTGCATCAGATCCCTTTCTACAAAATGAGGGCAATAACTATACCTACCTCATGGGATTGTTATGAGGAACGTACTTATTACGCATATCAAGTTTTCAGCATACGATTCTTTTTTTTTTTTAAGAGAGAGCTCTTCTTTATTTTATTATTATTATTATTTTTAAAGATTTTATTTATTTATTTGACAGGTAGAGATCACAAGTAGGCAGAAAGGCAGGCAGAGAGAGAGAGGAGGCAGGCTTCCTGCTGAGCAGGGAGCCCGATGTGGGACTTGATCCCAGGACCCTGGGATCATGACCTGAGCTGAAGGCAGAGGCTTAACCCACTGAGTCACCCAGGTGCCCTTAGCATATGATTCTGCTTCACCCTAGAAATTCTGTGTGCCATCCGCAGGGGTGCAGCATAGACAATTCTTCTGAGTATGTGGGAATATTTCCGTAATACAGTGAGTTAAAGGTTTTTAAAAGGAAACCTGACCTAACCATGATGGCAAAGAATTACAGAGTGCACGTGCTGGGTAGGGGATATAAAACAGCACGGCTGCTCTGGAAAACAGCACGGAGGTTGCTCAAAAAAATTAAAAATAGAACTACCACGTGATCTGGCAATCCCACTTGTGGGTATTTACCCAAAAGCCTCGAAATCTGGATCTTGAAGAGCTTTCTGTACTCTCACAATCACTGAATCCCGATAGCCAGGACGGGGGAACCACCCAAAAGTCCATCCCCGGATGGGTGGACAGTGGATCAGGAGAAGGCGGTCTCTGCGTGCCGCGGAAATTAATTAAAGAGAAATACACTCATTAAATAAATAAAATTAAATTGTATCAAAAGAGAAGGAACTCCTGTTGTAGGCAACAACAGGGATGGACGTGGAGGACATCAGGGTAAAGGAAATTAGCCAGAGGCAGAAGGACAAAAACTTCACATGAGGTATCCAAAACAGACACACTCCGTGAATGTTAGCAGTTAAATCCAAACACTTATACTGTGTCTCTAATACCTGCTGGTGGTAGGTATTAATAATAATAATAATAATAATAATAGTAACCTGGCATCCTCCCAGCATCCGTGGGGGAGGGGGCAGCAAGAATCATGAGTGGGAACTCAGAGCCTGGCCGGAGGTCACGGAAGAAACTCGGGCTGGAGTCAGAGAGGCTAGATTGGGGCTGGACTTGGGAGCCCCTGCTGGAGGGAGGTGAGACAGAGGTGGCCGGGAGGGTGCTCAGCTCTGGGTCAGTGGGGGCCCGCCGGGAGCGCTGGGCTATCATTCTCCTGCCCTCCCGTCCCATAAAATGATAAAGGCTTTTGCAATGCAAGATTTGTATTTTAGCACAAGCGTTTGCTGAAATTCAGCTGTGGGCCGACGGGCAGTGTCTCCCCCAGAAGCATGAAATGGTAACAGGCAGCAGGTGAAAACTCCAGAATTTTGGGTTCATGCTGCATGTCAGGGGCTGCCCCCGCCGGATGGTCCTCCTGTAAGGGACCCCACAGTCGTGTCATCCCTGAGTGTGCCCCAACAGCTCGTAACCATGGAAACATTTCGCTCGCACACTGCCAGTGTCTAGTCCTGGAACGGGATCACTCAGCTGGGCCCTCTGTGAAGTCTCGCCAGGTCAGTCGTATCTCCAGGCTTGCCCGAGGCGTGAAGGCGGTTGAGGTCACACAGCTCATCTGTCTCCTCTCCGTCTTCTCACCAGCCAGTGGGCTCACGGGTGTAGTCACTCTTGCCACTTACTCTCTACACCGTGTGCCCCCGGCGCGATCCAAGCCTCCCACCTCTTTGCTTCTAAAATGCTAATATCCAATGCTTTTCATGTTCTGTCTCCGGGATCAGAATGCCCCTTATTCTCAATGGCATCTTACTGCCTGTAGGCTGGGTTGGTGGGGGGACGTGGTCATTCTAGCCTGCACCATGACAGTGGCCATGTGTGATGCATGTCAGGGGCTCAGAAGAAAGCCCCAGAGATGACAATGGGGCCCTCTTCACCTCGGGGGAGCAGACACTTGTGTGGGGAGACAGACAGCGTGAATGAGCAACATTTCCAAAGACTCAGAAGTGGGCTGAGAACCACGTAAGTAGAAAGATTGTGCCTGGGCCCAGTGGGTCTTCATTCACCGAGACTGGGCAGCATTGAGAGAGTGTCACAGGAGAAAATGTGACCTTCCTAATTCAGGAGGCCAGGCACTAAACGTGGAGAAATTTTAGGACCATCTTAACCAGCTTCTGACCCTTATA